TATATTTAAAGATGGAGTTCTCATTTAATTGTAACAGCTGAGACTGAGCTATTGTAAATATATTAGTTTCCATTAAAGTTGCATGCATCTTGTGTGGAATGGTTATAGGCTGCTGCTGGTACATACTGCATTCTGTGTATTATCTAGTTTTTTTCCTCAAAGCATTCTGAAGCAGGGCATTGCATTGCAAATTAAAAAGTAGTTTGATACACTCATTGTAAGTCAAACCGATATAGTCATTTTTATACTGTACACATACCACTTACTACACGTGTAGTGGTATAAACATAGAAGCTATATTCCAAATCCCAGGAATTTATCATTTTTCTGCACGTGTGTATTTTCAGTTATCAATACCATTCAGCATGTGCCTTTATTTATAGTAAATAACTTAATTATATTACACAGCTGGCAATGTGCTCACAGTATTCATTTATCCCCTACAATAAGTTTCCTCTGCTAAGCAAATCAAATTCTGAACTTTATTGTGTTATTATTAAAACAGTCTCTTCTAGTACCATATATCCAAATCTTTTTGTGTAGAGAAAGAGAGAGAGAGAGAGAGTATTTATCAGGTGTTATGTATATGTGAGATATAGGAACACAATAACAGATATTTTTTAAAAATCTGTAATCACAATTTATCAAAATGTTTTTCTACTTCTTTTGGCATTGAATGCCATATGGGATGTATAAGACGTTTGTCATAGTATACTATAGACAATACAATCATGTCATTCAGAAATAGCCTGTAGGACACAGCCACACTCTCTGTTGAAGTAATATGCAATAAAGAGTCCTCAATAGAACCCCAACATAAACATAATAATAATGGATGTCTGCAGGCCTATGCCCTCTCTCCCTGTTTTGCTACTGGTTCTAGTAAAGCATTTTAAAAATGCTAAAAGTTAATAGGTCCCTTATTTCACATTCCAGCTAAGGATCCATTCCTGAGATGAAATATCTGCTGTCCATGCCTCTGGGGTTCACCTTATGCCTTTGGGGGTCGTGGGGCACTATACTTGTAAGTGAGTTCCAAGTCTCCTAATATAGCTGACAGACAGGGGAGATGTCACCATCTGTATGGCAAATAGCCCTGCAAAAAAGGGGCAACTTATGTCCACAATATTCAACTAGACCCAGTCGGCTTCATATTCCAAAATTGCTGCTCCCATATTTAGTTCTGAATAAATTGACCGCACATTGCAGAAACCACAATGCAAATACAATCCCATGCTGTACAGATACTCCAAGAGGTAAAGGTAATGGCGAGTCAGTAAAACCGCCAAATTAAAAACATATTAGCCTATAACTATTGTCATGCAAACAGCAACAATTCTGCCTTAGCACAAATGCTCTGCGGAACGCTCAAAAGAGGTCGCTTGTTGAATGTGTTGGGTTCTTTTAATTTTTACAGTGTCCAGTGTTGTTAAAGGGACTCTCTCATTACTGGATCACTTTTTAACTAACCTCGGACTAGAAAAAGAAGAGCATCTATGCTTACCATTAAAACATTCAAACACTACCACTTTGTTGCTACCCAGCCACAGCACATATTTCACACTTTCTGGTGTATGAATACCTGCTTCACCTGCTGCATGCTATATTCCCTCTCTCTGACTCATGTCACTACAGGATGTATGAGATGGCAGGAGGAACCACATTATGCGGCACTGGGAGCAGCAAAGCAGAAGCATTTGAAGATATGGGCCACCAGAAAGGTAAGTATTCATACTTTTCATTTACAGGCTGGCATTTTTTTTTCAAGTGATCCTATGGTGCCAAGGTCACACTAAATTCAATCATTGCACAGAGTGGGTAATAATACAGCTATTACATTAACTTTTAAAATTCCACTATTAGCTAACGTGACAGGATCTCTTTAAGTGCCTGTCCACTGCTGCTTATACTCACTTTCCTTTACTCCTCTGCTGTTATGAATGTACTAGTACTTCCTAGTATGATGTATAATGTGACTTTCTCCTGTTCTTGCTGCTATGCAGTACTGGGTGCCTGAGAAGCCAATTATACTGGGCTTTTGCCCTGTGTAAATGCAGAAACCGGGGGTGGGGTGGAAAAAAGGGGGTAAAAAAGCCAATTATAGGCTGTGGGGATGGGCAAAAAATATGTTAACCCTGTTACTTTTCTGCGAATGGGCAAAGCACAGGAACAAAAAAAAGTAAAAAGATAGACTTACCAACCCTCTTCTCTTCCTAGGTTTGACAGGTATCCAAGGGGGTCATTCCCTGGCTGACATCCCACTTGACAAGGGCTATAAGTTCCTATGCTCTTCAGACTCTGCAGTCAGGACTGCTGTCATGGGGAAGCCTGAACCTCTTCCATCCTGCACCATACACCAACAGCTCCTCCTAACTATAAAGCATGTAATCATCCCTCTGGCTTCTGGCTGGCCGCTACAGCTGTCAATCAAAAGCCAGACGGGGAATTATCGCCCTCCCTTTCTTAGGAGCACTTTAACAGTGAAATTCACTTTCATCTTATCTGGTCTATGGCACAATAGTCTTATCAGTATTATATTTAGTACCATAATCAAATTGGTAGAAAAAATCAGTGTCTCATGTCGGAGTAAATGTATTAGTTCCTAACTAATCAATAACTTGTACTATCAAACAGGTAAACATCATAATTCATGTAGATTAACAATAGTGCTCTGACATTTTCAGAGTGAATCAAGGAGGAAAGAGTGATTAAATGAAACTTATACTGCGGAAGCCAATTCCCATATAAATAATTTAAAGAATCAGGCGATTTCAGTGTGACTGGTAGGAAGGGTTGGTGGCCTATAGCAGCAAATTCTGTTAACTTCAGCATGGATTGAGGAAATCTGTAAAAATACATTTCTACATAAACTAAACATAAGATAGATAGATAGATAGATAGATAGATAGATAGATAGATAGATAGATAGATAGATAGATAGAATTTATGGTTTTCTAAGTATTGTTATATTACCTGAGTTAGGTTGCCTGCTGTGTCTTGTGTCAAGGATTTGTTGGGCAGAGTCTGTGAGACAACATCCAAATAACCCAGGACAGGCTGTGCATGGGATATCCTGAAACCATCTTGGGTCAAGTTAATTATAATGGGATAGTAAGCATCGGTGGAGACCTACAGAAACAATAGGTTACAAAAGATTTGTTAATAGCTGTAAATGAGAATCTAAACTTTCTAGACTGTCTCCACATCCAAGCCTTTACAGCTCAGAAAATTAATTTTCTTTCTGATTGTCAGAAGAATACAAGATGATTTTTACAAAATGTGTTTTATTATACCTAAAAAAATAAAATTAATTCTGCAAAACACCCAAAATCATGCACTGAAAATCTGATACAAATTGTCATGCCATTAGTCACATCTTACCGGAGGATGAGCAGTACTGGGAGTACTAGACATTGTTGAAGTAACAAAGGTTTCATCCCCTGCAAAAGGAATCACACCTTAATATTGATGCCTGATGCATGACAATAAATTCAACGCATGAAATCTATTATTTTGTTTAAACAATAAACACAAACACTACAATACAATACAATGGCTGAAAAAAATAACTTTTATTATGTAGCTGTCCCTAGACATTAGTGAGCAGTTGGATGTGCATGCTTGGTCTGGCTGTATCACAACATGTCTTCTTCCAACTTCTGCTCCATACTGTTACATTCTGGTTGCATGAGAATTTCTGATAAATTGGAGGAGACAGCAAAAGAGAAGCTTATGAACACACAATCCCCCGTGCCGACTTTTCATAGAAAAATTAATAGAGATTGGACAAAGTTTTCCAACATGAAAATGGGCAAACAGTCATCTAAAGTCTATAAAAAGAAACTTTTCTCAAAACCTGTTTTTCAGTTTAGGTGAAACATAACAGGGTTTTGGTCCACCACAGCACAAGAGTGTTGTCTGCTGTAACATAGTTTTTCAGCTGAGCTTCTGCTGTCACTCTTCTAAGATCTATATTATATATCTTTTTATGAAGACTCAACTTCAGGGCAAAGAACAGTGGTAACCCCATCTAAAATTTCTTGACAGCAGTGAAAATCAAACTGTCGAGACTAAGCCATGCCCAATTCCACCTAAGACAAAGAAACCTGTTGCTAGCATTCCATTTCAAGAAGAACTCTGGGGGAAATTATTATTAACCCTTACAGTAAGGCTACCCCTGCACTGCAAGGGATACATGCTCGTTTTGGTCTAGGTAGGAAAATAACAAAGATATACTCACTCGATCCCTCAAGAGGCTCGTACTTAGAGCGGTCAATGGAGCAGAGTGAATATGCATGCTTGCTTGTAGAATACAATGATGTATGTCTACACATAGAATGCTGGCTAATGCAGCAGCACATGGCAGTGCGAGAAGGAACATTGCAGTCAAATATTTAAAAGGGGCAGCTCTCAATGCACAGCACCCCAAACACACAAACACCAATTGGACACTGAAGCACCTAAGATGGTGGTTATTGCCAGAGACCAGGAACTCCACAATTTTGTGTGCCAAACAAAAGTGAGATGCTGGTACCAGCATGATAGGAAATTATTGTGACTTAGATCTGTGTCATATGCAGTTGAATTGTGCTATCCTTCATGCTAGAAAATTCTCTTTCACTGCTCCAACTGTTAAGCAAATACTAAAGTGTAACCACAAGCTTTGCACCAGAATAGTATCTTGTCCAAGTTACCACTAGTAAAATTCATCATTTTGCTGCAACAAGTGTCCTTTGCCCTTACTGCACTCCCAAAAACCTAATTATAGCTACTCACTAACCTGTGACTGCTAACTAATTGGTTAGTTCTCATTGGAATACCATCTACAAAGTAAAGTCAGGTTTACACTCAGGTTAATGTTGGTTGATACGAAAAGTGATTGGCAAAAAAATCATGATGTCATTTAATTTCATGTTTAAAGCAATCTATTCTGTGCTGCCTCATAATTCTTTGTGGCTGAAGGGGTTAATATTAGTACAGAAAGCAATCATTCCTGTCCATGTTTAATAAGTGCCAGCAGGAGAGCAGTGCGGAAATTCCTGAATCCTGCGCTGGCTGAACAATTATCCAGCTGCAAAGACACATCTGCATAAGTACAACAGTGCAGATACAACTTCCATTAAAGGGGAAAATATATTTACAACTAGGATCTGCTCTTCTTTTACATACATCTATATGGCTATGTATGTAGTCCAAAGGTCTAGCAGTACATTTTTAGAAAACTTATGAAAGTTAAACCAAATGCAGCAGAGGAAATCTGTAAAAATACATTTCTACATAAACTAAACATAAGATAGATAGATAGATAGATAGATAGATAGATAGATAGATAGATAGATAGATAGATAGATAGAATTTATGGTTTTCTAAGTATTGTTATATTACCTGAGTTAGGTTGCCTGCTGTGTCTTGTGTCAAGGATTTGTTGGGCAGAGTCTGTGAGACAACATCCAAATAACCCAGGACAGGCTGTGCATGGGATATCCTGAAACCATCTTGGGTCAAGTTAATTATAATGGGATAGTAAGCATCGGTGGAGACCTACAGAAACAATAGGTTACAAAAGATTTGTTAATAGCTGTAAATGAGAATCTAAACTTTCTAGACTGTCTCCACATCCAAGCCTTTACAGCTCAGAAAATTAATTTTCTTTCTGATTGTCAGAAGAATACAAGATGATTTTTACAAAATGTGTTTTATTATACCTAAAAAAATAAAATTAATTCTGCAAAACACCCAAAATCATGCACTGAAAATCTGATACAAATTGTCATGCCATTAGTCACATCTTACCGGAGGATGAGCAGTACTGGGAGTACTAGACATTGTTGAAGTAACAAAGGTTTCATCCCCTGCAAAAGGAATCACACCTTAATATTGATGCCTGATGCATGACAATAAATTCAACGCATGAAATCTATTATTTTGTTTAAACAATAAACACAAACACTACAATACAATACAATGGCTGAAAAAAATAACTTTTATTATGTAGCTGTCCCTAGACATTAGTGAGCAGTTGGATGTGCATGCTTGGTCTGGCTGTATCACAACATGTCTTCTTCCAACTTCTGCTCCATACTGTTACATTCTGGTTGCATGAGAATTTCTGATAAATTGGAGGAGACAGCAAAAGAGAAGCTTATGAACACACAATCCCCCGTGCCGACTTTTCATAGAAAAATTAATAGAGATTGGACAAAGTTTTCCAACATGAAAATGGGCAAACAGTCATCTAAAGTCTATAAAAAGAAACTTTTCTCAAAACCTGTTTTTCAGTTTAGGTGAAACATAACAGGGTTTTGGTCCACCACAGCACAAGAGTGTTGTCTGCTGTAACATAGTTTTTCAGCTGAGCTTCTGCTGTCACTCTTCTAAGATCTATATTATATATCTTTTTATGAAGACTCAACTTCAGGGCAAAGAACAGTGGTAACCCCATCTAAAATTTCTTGACAGCAGTGAAAATCAAACTGTCGAGACTAAGCCATGCCCAATTCCACCTAAGACAAAGAAACCTGTTGCTAGCATTCCATTTCAAGAAGAACTCTGGGGGAAATTATTATTAACCCTTACAGTAAGGCTACCCCTGCACTGCAAGGGATACATGCTCGTTTTGGTCTAGGTAGGAAAATAACAAAGATATACTCACTCGATCCCTCAAGAGGCTCGTACTTAGAGCGGTCAATGGAGCAGAGTGAATATGCATGCTTGCTTGTAGAATACAATGATGTATGTCTACACATAGAATGCTGGCTAATGCAGCAGCACATGGCAGTGCGAGAAGGAACATTGCAGTCAAATATTTAAAAGGGGCAGCTCTCAATGCACAGCACCCCAAACACACAAACACCAATTGGACACTGAAGCACCTAAGATGGTGGTTATTGCCAGAGACCAGGAACTCCACAATTTTGTGTGCCAAACAAAAGTGAGATGCTGGTACCAGCATGATAGGAAATTATTGTGACTTAGATCTGTGTCATATGCAGTTGAATTGTGCTATCCTTCATGCTAGAAAATTCTCTTTCACTGCTCCAACTGTTAAGCAAATACTAAAGTGTAACCACAAGCTTTGCACCAGAATAGTATCTTGTCCAAGTTACCACTAGTAAAATTCATCATTTTGCTGCAACAAGTGTCCTTTGCCCTTACTGCACTCCCAAAAACCTAATTATAGCTACTCACTAACCTGTGACTGCTAACTAATTGGTTAGTTCTCATTGGAATACCATCTACAAAGTAAAGTCAGGTTTACACTCAGGTTAATGTTGGTTGATACGAAAAGTGATTGGCAAAAAAATCATGATGTCATTTAATTTCATGTTTAAAGCAATCTATTCTGTGCTGCCTCATAATTCTTTGTGGCTGAAGGGGTTAATATTAGTACAGAAAGCAATCATTCCTGTCCATGTTTAATAAGTGCCAGCAGGAGAGCAGTGCGGAAATTCCTGAATCCTGCGCTGGCTGAACAATTATCCAGCTGCAAAGACACATCTGCATAAGTACAACAGTGCAGATACAACTTCCATTAAAGGGGAAAATATATTTACAACTAGGATCTGCTCTTCTTTTACATACATCTATATGGCTATGTATGTAGTCCAAAGGTCTAGCAGTACATTTTTAGAAAACTTATGAAAGTTAAACCAAATGCAGCTGAAATATGACAAGCACAGTTCAGCAATACATATTGTTCAATTAATATAACAGTTTTTTTTTAAAAGATGTATCATAGTCTGTGATTGGATTGGTCATATCACAAATCAAACAAAATATGCCTCCACTTAAAACTGTGAAGGTGTCCATACACTTTACAACCATCGCAAGACCTTAGTCTTGCGATGGTTGTAAAGTAATTTAAAAAATCTTCATTCACACTGCACAATTCTCGTACGATCGCGGGATTTCCCGCAATTCTCGTACGAGAATCGTGCAGTGTATGGGCACCTTGAGTGTATTTTTAAGGTTCTCTCAAAATTGCTGTAACATAGATATAGATCAAATTCTAGATATGTGAATCATAATTTTACTATATATGGGTGTCATTAGTTCTTACAGGAACAATGAATTGGCTATGGACATGGATCACCCACAAAACAACATTGGCAAGCATCTGGAACCTGGTGAGAGTGTAAGGGCCTGCCACAACTTTGCACAATAAGATATGGTTGCTTGCATCTTGTATTCACTTCACTATATGTGATTACTAAAATTTGTAGCCAGGCTGTTTAGAGACAGAGGTAGCATCAGATTATGTGTGATAAGCATTTCTCTCTTCCTGTAAAACAAAAACTGGATGTGTGGGGACGGGGCAATGAAGCAGGCACTATGACATTTATTTCAATATATCAAGGCGAAAAATGCCCCAATTAATAGCAACCGAATATCTATCTTGCCTAATGAAAGATAATCTGATTGCTTGATATTTGCTATTACACATCAAAGTGCACTTTAATGCATTGCCTTATTATCCAGCATGCATATGTATGTTTTTTCTAGGTGCCTACTGATCAATTGAGAAAAAAACGTTTATTTATTTAACTTAAGTATACTTATATCTGATCTATCTGCTGTAGGTTGCTGCAAGAGGAATGCCATAGCTGCTCTTAATATTGCCTTATAAAATATAACTATTAGTGTATACATAGCATCTAACTGTCCCTCATTTGGAGGGGCTGTCCTTCTTTTGGAACAAAATCTCTTGGTCCCACTTTCTTCCTCAGTTGCCCCTCTTTTTGGTCTGAAGTTTAGACCTGTACAAAAAATTCACTTTTCAACTAGAAACCAAAAGTGTTATACAGCACCAAACATTTTCATTCAACCTCTAAATGATTGCATTTGTTATTGTAAAAAGCCACTATGAAGGAAAAGTATTAAACATAAAAACCTCTGGTTTAACCAATCATTTTTTGCGCATTCATTCTTCAAAGGATAAGTATGGGGGGATGTCGGGGATGTGTTCTTTGCCTATATACTCTGCACTAAAACATGTCCCTCTTTCTTATCCCAAAAAGTTTGGAAGAATAGTGCATATAATATAAGCCAAGCATAATTTAGAAATGTATTTACAGATAGGCTGCTCACGTTATGTTTCAGTCTGACTTTTGGCAGATATGTGAACATATGCCTCTCAAAGATAGATACTGTGTTGATTGCTTAACAATTTTGTGCTTTTTGTAACTCCTGTGAGAAGTCATAATCTCTGTAATGCTTTATTTCCATGTGTTTATGCAAATTTGAAAACTGAGGCTCCCTTAGTTACATTACAGTAATAGATAATCAACCTTCATCTGTAAATGGCTGTGCGACTAGATATTTTCCCTTAATATGTTCCTAAAACAAGGTGTTAATGTTAGTTAACTGTAGGTATGAATGTGCATGTAATCAAGGAGCGACATTCATAATGTTGCTTACCAAAATAACATACCAGTGGCATCTGTAAAGTAGTGCTGGATCTCAGGAAGGCTTAGGGCTCTTTCCCATATGATGAACTCATCGAAAACTCCATTGACATAGTGTTTGGATTGATCACTGTTTGTGCCCACAACCAAGCCATCAACACCAGTTGCATAACTGTAGGAGAGATGACCTTGGGAATCACTGGCATTATAGGTGCCATTGACATAAACCTTCAGGCCTTCACTTGATGTCCAAGTGAACAGAACGTGAGTCCAATAGGGACCTAGATGATGAAGACATAAAAATATTTCATTTATAGTTTAGAAGTAACATAAAGGTGAACTATTCATAGCACAACTTTCTCCAGGACTCTAATTTAGACATCAGTTGTGAGAAGTGGGCCATTTTGTAAGCGCTGAATGACCAATCAACCCCACATTGGAAAATATTTTATGGCAAATTATCCTCTTTTTATTGGAATATCAGCAGTCCTTTCACTGAATTCCCACTACGTTTAATGTTGCACAACAGGAAAAGTAATCATGGTAATACCTTGCAGCATGTATTGCAATTGTCTCAAATACAGCAAGTATTTAAAATCCTCCAATCTAAGGTGCCTTTGAAATTGTCCGAACTGAAGCTTATTGCAGATAGACAAGTTTCAATAAAATGCCACCTACTGTAGTATGAAATCAGATGGCTGCATAATATTTTCCTTATGAAACACAAACCTTTATATGTGGAAGAAGCAATGTTGATTGTAAGAGAATATGCCCCAGCTTCCAGTTAACCTTTATTAAAAGCTGACAAATTGATCATCTAACAGTTGGAGCAAGTAAAAGTTGTTTCAATAATGATTACAAATATATAAGTGATTGTTAATGGTGAGCCTGGACCGTCAATCTACTCAAGAGGTTTGTAAATTGGGAGGTAAGACAATTTTTTTTTTTTTAGAATACACTATAATTCAGGAGGAGATTTTTTTTTAAACATTTATAGTGATATTGTCACTATTTTCAAGACCTTAGATGCATTTTCTCAAAAAGGACATCAATACCCTATACAGTAAGTATAGTAAAAAAAAATTTACACAGAAGACCCAAGAAAATGAAAGCTGGATTTAACAAGTTCATGAGTATCTGGGTCTAAAGGAATTACTGCCCCTAAAGGCAGCGGCAAGACAAGAACACAAATTAATTTAATTTATCTGACATCTTTTAGCCATTTGTAAGTTACCTATATTAGCCAAACAAGCATTTCTCACCATACGTTTATTTGCATTATTATAGCCACTATGTCATTTTACTGACTACAGTACAAGGTTAGCTGGTCATATAACTCTATGTCATTTCACCTGTTACTGTATTAATATTTAGAGGAATATCCTGACTTTTAACATGCAGAATTATGAACATCTGGGACATGACCTGTAACTAGAACAGAACAGCCATTAGGAAACCCACGTGCTGTGACGCCTTTCATTAACATTACAGCTGTAATGCAAACAGATGAGACTCATTTAGAAAGGTTAGAACATCTTGTTCTGGTTCAATACTAAAGATCCTTTCCTCTTATTTGCTATTATTATACATTTTAAGGATACCAAGAGTATTTTTTAAGCTTCTACTTCAATGTTCTTTAATGTCCTTTGATTTTCACTGGAGGTATTATGTCATAATCATTTTTAGTTTAGAAAGTGGACATTTCAGAGAATAAAGTATCACTCCAGTCTTGGAACTTGTTCTGTCTTATAAGCAGTATCAGCTATTAGGAAAGATTCAATAAAGACTAACTACATTAGGAAATTAGATTTCAGTTTCCTGCTTAAGTATATACTCTTTCAAAATAACTTGTGTTTAGCAGTTATTCCAAATTTCTAGTATATGTTAAAGTCTATTTATTTTTCTTAATATTGGATAGAGTAGGGAATGGTGAGATCCTCTGTCAAGTTATTATTGCTTTCTGTACCCCTGCTGAGGCAATTCGCCCCTCTATATGTCCTGGTGATAATTGTCACTGAGGAAAGGGAAAATCCAAAAAGTTGTAGTTCTCATAAGAACAAGAGGTAAGAGGAAATCTTCTGGTGATGCAAGACCGGTGGGAATCCTCCTTACTTTGGGGAGATTTTCTCTTGTGTCTCTTGTGGACAGGAATTAAATGGAAATCTCCTCCTCAGCAGGACACAACCAAAAAAAAATAATTACCTGACAGGGTTTTTTAACATACCTCTTAAACGTTTAAAAAAAAACATTTTGGCTATACATACACTTTAACCACCTCAGTACCAGCATTTATATTCACTTTATTGGGAGGCAATTTTTCAGTTTTTGTTGCTATGATACTTTAACAAATACTTGGTCATGCAACACTGTACTTTAGTAAATTACCTGGCTCGACAAAAGCTGATTCTTCAATTTATCAAAGGAGCAGGGTGGAGTATGGCCGTCTGAAGAGTGACTACAGCCACAGTCACAGTGAATACTGTTCATGTATTCAGCAGCCAAGGGTGCCACCGGCTGTTGCATACAATGGCCGGAAGAGGAGATTCCTTCATCAATGCTATTTAGTGTGGATGCGGGAATCAATTATTTTCTCTTGTTCATCCCACAGAGCTAAACAAGAGACATCTAAAGATGTATGGCTAGGTTAAGTCTGTACTCATTTGTAAACTTACCCCAATGATTTTACCTCTGTAGTGGCTCTTTTAAGGATAAACATTCTAATTAAATTAACTGTTTACAGTCCTCTTTAGTGGAAAACGGTTACAAGTGTCAGGTTTTTATTGCTATAGGTGTCCTTGATGAGGCGATTACACCTTACTTTATTTCCTAGAGACAGAACAGAAGTAGCAATGAGTAAAAAAAAAAAAAAGTCCTCAAAGTGAAAGACAATCCCACCTTTGACATTCACCAAAACAGGTGTCCCCATTGGGATAGCTCATTTTTACACATGTTTAAGCGATAAAATGTAGACTTCCCCATAATTCTTATTTCTAATAAGTTACTCCAGGAACACCTACAGCAATGAAAACCTGAAGGAGTTTTACCCTTCCTCAGTCTATCCAAAACTAATATAAAGTTTTGGCCAGAATTCCAATATTACTCTGCTCCTCCAATTTGTATAAAGAACCAAAATGTGATACAGTGATCAGTACCTGGAGGTTTAATTTTTGCATTCCAGACCTTGGAGTCCCCATGCCTGTAGACCTCAACATAACCTTCACGCTCATCTGCGTAGATTTGAAAACCATGGGAAGTAACTTTTTTCCCAAAGGCCTGTGTCTGTCGGCTCTTAGAGGGATCATCTTGGAAAGAATCTTGGTTGTTACTTTGGTTAATGGGTTTCAGTTGTTTCTTTGGTGACAGGTCCTGAATCTTCCAAAAAAAGGAGAATGTGACACCTGAATTTCAGAGAGAAATAACAAGCCTGAGAAAATAGGAAGACATTCCAGAAAGGTTTTTGAAAAATGTAATTGGCTATCAAAAAAATGTAGGTTATTTGCAAGTTAAGCTACATCATAGCCATATTTATCCAATGGAAATAACTTTTAGAAGTGCAGTTTATGTACATTTCTTAATGGGGCATCACTTCTGTCATGTAACAACTATCTATTGTTTATGGATACCAAAAAACATAAATATTGAATAAAAAAGCTAATGTACAGAACAGTGAATTAGAGAAGAACCAAAAATCCATTTCAATTACAGTTCACCTGATGTGCTTCTGTGAGCCTGTGCCTGTTACTATTCTTTTTATATTATTTGTTTGATCAAAAGAGTTGTGCCTTCACCTTGATAAATATGAGTCAATCACACCAAACATGCAGGCTACCAGATAGGTTTCTAACCCCTACCTTTTTAATGATATATATGAAACTAACCCTCTTGTAAAATGTAAATGTAAAAAATATACAATGGCCTTCTATGTTTCCCATTCCATAATTTGCTCTAAGTTAATTAAAAAACTCACCCAGGATGATACATTTGATGAAACAGAACCCCCCTGGGTCCACATTCAGCAGTTAACTAGTAAACAAAAGGGATTCTGGGAGATGTCAACTGCCATGCTCTTATGGGATCATTTCTTTTGATTAGCAGGAGACAATAAAAATGTTTTTGGTAAAATGCAAACTGGTATAAACAAACTTGCATCTCCCCCTGCTAAGGGGATTCCAGTTCATATGCCTGCTGTGAAAATTTGGTATCTTACAAGGGAGGGGGGCAACTTGAATTAACTCTTTTTCAAAATTTAGAAAAGTGACAGAAGAAAAAATGGACAAAACTATACCAACCTGAATATTCAGGTAGGGCTTGAAACCATTGGACCAGTATACTCATCTCTACTGCTGACACAAATGTTGTTAGGAGCTGTATACATCATAAAAACTATTGGGCTAGTCCATAAGTTAGTAGTATAAGATAACAGAGCACTACAGCAAAAAAATAAGATTTTCCTTTGTTTTCTATTTTAGTTTGTTCAC